CATTAGGTCCAGTCGTGGCCGACTCTGGGGTTGCTGCACTCATCTCACTTTATTGGCCGAGGGAGCCGGCGTACAGCTTCTGGGTCATGTGGCCAGCAGGACTAAGCCGCTTCTGGTGAACCAGAGCAGTGCATGGAAACACCGTTTACCTTCCAGCCAGAGCGGTACCTGTTTATCTACTTGCACTTTGACGTGTTTTCGAACTGCTAGGTTGGCAGGAGCTGGGACTGAGCAATAGGAGCTCACCCTGTCGTGGGGATTCGAACCCCCGACCTTCCAGTCGGCAAGCCCTAGGCTCTGTGGTTTACACCACAGCACCACCCAAGAAAAGGAGGTTGAAAGAGAGCCAAGGGTTTTAGGGCATCAGGTAAAACCACCACTGTGAGAAGGGTCTCAGCTCAGTGGTAGGACATCTGTTTTGCATGCAAAAGATTCCAGGTTCCAAGTCTGAGATCTCAGAGCAGGCTTCCTCAACCTCGGCCCTCCAGATGTTTTGAGACTACAATTCCCATCATCCCTGCTAGCTAGGGATCATGGGAGCTGTAGGCCAAAAACATCTGGAGGGCCGAGGTTGAGGAAGCCTGTCTTAGAGAGATGTTGCCACTCAGTGTAGACAATATTGAGCTACGTAGTCCAATGATCTAACTGCAAAAGGCAGCTTGCTCTGCTTCTATGAGGCCTCGGGGCTCAATTTAGGAAGGCTGGCTGGCTGGCTGGCTGGCTGGCTGGCTGGCACGCCAAGCAGAAGCACACCACAAACTGCAACATTTTGTTGCCGTTCCCACTTGTTGCTATTCAATACAACGTCTATTTCTAACTTTTAATGATGAATAACGCTTTGTGTAGCTGAAGCGGGCTCTGCTGCTTGATAAGTTTATGCTGCAGTAAATTGCTTAGTCTGCTGCAGCAAGAACAGCCAAGAGTCTTGTGACACTATAAAGGCTTAACATTGCTGTGTCTCTGGATTACCTGTGGTTCTTCCAGAAGAATGAAACCGTTCTTTGGAGACTTTAGAACTGCAGGACGGTTTGTAGAAAGGAAGGAGCCAGTGACATAGATCAGTAGTTGACCTAACAACAATTATTAGAAAATTCTATGACCTTTTTCTTTTTTCTTTAAGTGTCAACATGCTTAACTCTGTTCAACTCCTCTAAGTTCAGGCTTTGATACTCACAGTTCTATTACGGATATGGTGGCCAGGAACCCGTCAAATATTGGAGGTCACGGCTGGGCTGAGATCTGAGTCTAAGACTTCCTGGCTCATAGCACTTAACCCACAAAATATCCTAAGAGATGGTAGCTTTCTTAAGACTAACCCGGCAAGTTCACAGGTGAACTCGGCAAGGTCTGCAGGGCTTCCTTACCCAAATCCAATAGCCCATTTGCTAACATCTACTAGATCTCACAGCCTGAGGGTACAAGAGGGTAGATTTTGGGTTGAACATTACGAGATGCATCTTGAAGATAAGAGCAGCTAAGCAGGGGGAGTGGGCTCTCTCCCTTGCTGGATGCCTTCAAGGAGAGGCCAGACAACCTCGAATCTGGATTTCCTGTTTCCTAACTGAGCTAGATTAGGAACCTGCCAACTCTATTATTTGAATCTATTGTGCTTCTGGGCCACTGGTCTTCAAGATGAAGGTCAGAACCATAGCTGTCAACTTTCAGATTTGAAAATAAGGGATCAGCAGCCTCACCTGTCCCGGGGACAGTCTACGGGATATCTAACAATCCGGGATAGCAGCAGGAAACGGCGCTGGAATAAGGGAATTTCCCGCAAAGAAAGGGAAGGTTGAGAGCTATGGTCAGGACCCACTTTGAAGTGTTGCAAGAGAAGAACTATTTTTCATGAAAATATACAGCATCCAAAATTTGTGATAGAGGACCCCCCTGTCCAGCAAAATGCATGCTTACACTAAGGGTGAGTCCCGAGTCTGAAAGCATATAAGGGAACTGTTCTAGCAGGCTTGAGATTTTAATCATGGGGACCAGCAGAAAACCCCAAACCTCTTTAATCATTTTAAACACAGTAGGGATTACCTGACCTCAGGGCAGACCTTAATAAAAATAGCCAAAGGGGGGGGGGAGGGAGAGGTGGTCATTTCAAGCAAATTCACAGAGAATATATGCACCATGCAATCTTGTTCAGTGGGCAGATGCAGACTTCGGCCAGTCTGTCCTCATCATCACCACAGCCACACCATTGTGCACCTACTCTGAACTTATTCTTATTATTATACACCAGCACATCAACAAGTTAGGCCCCAAATACACACAACTCCAAACTTACGTTGAGGTTACATTCCAAGGCACCACACGTTTAAGTGAAATCGTGTATATTTGAAACCCATTGAAAAAGCCTGCAAACAACCTATCCTCGTTCCACCCTTTTTGTGACATTATTGGATCACTTTTGTGTTCGATGCGATGCGCACGCATATGGTCACAGACATCTCATGCGCACCTAAAACAGTGGCTGCCTGTATCTGAAAGAACATATCCTGTGCTACAGACCCCCGCAGATGTTAAGACAGCTGCGGGGGGTCCTATTGGTATACAGGGGCTTGGAAGATGGCTTTCTCTGTGGGAGCTTCTAAGTTGTGGAATTATTGTTATTATGATTTCTTAGAAGGTCCCAGGATAGGTTACAACAATAAAATCTGTTTCTAAGAAATGCAATCAGAAGATGGGTGGCGGGGGGGGGGATATTTTTCCTTTAAAATCTCTCTCCAGTATCAAATGCCAAAGTTACAGAAGGAGAGGGGAACATCTTGGGCATTAGAAATTCGCCAGGTGCCAAGTGCATTTTGCACCTGGCTATTGGGCACTTGGAACCAAGTGAATGTGCCCAGGTGCCCGGATGGCACCTGACGTCTCCACCATCTGGAAGTGCGTGCCTGGGGATCCCTGGATCTTGACTATTTTCACACACTAGCAACATATCCTGTAGAATTCTGTTATGTTTTATCTGCACAATCAGAATGAATTTCAGGAGCCAAAAGGTTGTATTGAAAATAAGACTTTTGAGCCGTCTGACCCCAAAATGGCAACTAGGCATTCTGTTTTAGTGACTGTAACCCTGTTTTAAGGAGCCATTTGGCACCTAGCTTATGTAGCTGAATTTCTACCACTGCCCATAGCTCAGTGGATACAGCATGTGCGTTGCACACAAAGGTCCCAGGTTCAATCCCTGGCATCTCCAGGATGAACTGGGAATGTCCTGCATCTAAAACCATGAAGAACCTCTGCTAGTCAGTGTACACTAAGATAGGAAGCTCAGTGGTCCGACTCAGTACGTATAAGACAATTTGCTATGTTCCTATCGGTGGCCTTCCAGATGTTGGATTACAAATCATCCCTGACTGCTGGCCACACTGTTTGGAGCTGATGGGAGTTGGGAGTCTACCAACATCTGGAAGAACAAAGGTTCCCCATCCCTGCTTAGAATAAACTGGAGATTTACTGCTTACAATAAATATATTGTGCTATCATCACACTCCTCCTCCTTGCCCTAGTGGTTTCCTGCACTGGGGAATAATTCTTGTTGCTCCCTTCATTAGGGATCCCATCTGCATTCCACGGGGGGGGGGGGGGATCTTATTTCCTCTCCCCTTCCACTCAATCCTCAGGAAGTAGCAATCTCCCAGAGATTTTTTTAAAGCAGAACTGTTTAGGCGCCAGAGACCAAATCCTGGCAGACTGCTGTGTGTGTGGCTGTGTACACACCATACATTTAAAGCATATTACATCCCACACAAAGTATCCTGGGTACTGTAGTTTGTTAAGGGTGCTGGGCACTGTAACTTTGTGAGGGGTACACCACAGTTCTCAGGGTTTGGGGAGGGGACATAGCTGTCAACTTTTTCCTTTTCTTGCGAGGAATCCTATTCGGAATAAGGGAATTTCCCTTTTTAAAAGGGAAACGTTGACAGCTATGGGAGGGGGGTGAATGTGTACAGGGCAAATATTCAGGCACAGCCTGTGATTAAAAAGCACTTTCCCCTATCTCCTCGTTTATCAGGGAGCCGTCCCCCCCCCCCCAAGATCTAGACCCCAAAACACCCCCAATACAGAGGACACACATGCAACAGTGACCCACTTCCTTGTGCACTCAAACCACGCAAGATGGACTAGGGATGGAAACAAGGAGGAGCCGGGGATGGTGCTGGGAAGGGAGAGAAAGAAAGAAACCAAGATCTGACCTCCACCCCGCTCCCGTTTCTTTCATTGTAAGGCTACCATGGCTGCACACTGGTACCCGACACCCAAAAGGGCTGCTGCCCACGTGGTGCTCACCTCCAGGTGCTCTCTGCGGAGAAAGGAGGGATGCCCCCGAAGCCTCCAGGCCCGGCGCAGCAGGCTGGCGGCGCTGCTCCTCCTGTTGCTGCTGCAGAAGAGATGGTTGGCAGGCACTCTCCCATTCAGGGCGAGAGTCTGCGTGGTGCCTGTGCGTGTAACACACCAGCCTAAAGCTCCTCCTCCTTCCCACTCAATGCCGGAGTCCCTCCCATCTCTTTGAAAGGAAGAGGGGGAGAGGGAAAAAAAGGATAATAATTTAAAACTCCTCCTTTATTCCCCCCCCTCCTCCACTCCTTATTTTATTCTGATTTTTTTCCTCTCGTCTGTTTGTTTGTTTGCTGAAAGAAAATCAGCCACCGGAGTGGTGTGATGGGAAGCCGGTTACTCCAGATCAATCACCTTTGACCCTCCATCCATCAGCCACTTGCTTGCCACCCACTTTCCCAGCCTCCGCGTCCCCTTGCAGCAGCAGCAAGCAAAAGCAAGCAAACGCGCCGCGCTCATTGGCCGCCCGCGCTCACACCAAGCCGTGGGGTGTCACCAATCAGAGACGCCCCGGGAGGAGTGGCCAATGAGGAGATGGCTGTGGCCTGAGCGGCCCTGGGAGCCCTCTCGTTGGCTCCCGGGACTCAGGTGGGAGGAGCCAGGAGCTTCGCAATTCCCATACTGTTACAGCAGCAGTTTCATAATAGACCGCTGGGCAGAGCGCGCGAGTTAACCCGCTGCAAACTGCAAGGGAGGCGATGCGCAGAGATTAATAAAGCAAGAGGAGGCAGACAACGGGGTGCCCCACCCTGGATGTGTGAGTCTAGTTTACTTTGCTGGACTACAACTCCCATCAGCCCCAGCCAGCATAGCCAGTGGTCACTGGGAGTTGTAGTTCAGCAACGTCTGGAGAGCACCACGTTGGCTGCGGCTGCTGGAACAGAGCATCCACTTACCCGCCCAGAATTTGGGGGAATGGTTAGAACCCACATGATCATCCCATACAGTGGTACCTCGGGTTAAGTACTTAATTCGTTCCGGAGGTCCGTTCTTAACCTGAAACTGTTCTTAACCTGAAGCACCACTTTAGCTAGTGGGGCCTCCTGCTGCCGCCGCGCTGCCGGAGCACGATTTCTAATCCTGAAGCAAAGTTCTTAACCCGAGGTACTATTTCTGGGTTAGCGGAGTCTGTAACCTGAAGTGTATGTAACCCGAGGTACCACTATATATGTGTGGAAGAGCCTTGCAGGATATCTGTAGCCTTCCTGGTATCATTTAGTTACTTAACATTGCAATTATTCTCCACCTTTTCTCCAAAGCGGTGCATCCTCACGACAACCCTGTGAGGTAGGTTAGGATGAGAGGCTGTGAGCAGCCTACAGTCACCCGGCAGGGCTCATGGCTAAGAGGGATTTGGACCCTGGACTTCACTGGACTCCAACTCCCTTCATCCATGACTACGCTGGTTGCTGTGGCTGATGGGAGTCGGAGTCTGAACAACACCTGGAGAGGCCACAGGTTTCCGATCCTTGATGTACATGGTAAGTGACTACCCAATGCATTATCATTTTAACCAAAGTGTGGGGACCCTTGGGCTCTCCAGGTGCACTCAGTGTACAACTTCCCTCATCCCTGAGTGTTGGCCAGGCTGGCTGGGGCTAATGTTCTTGCCCAGCCCAGGAGGACCACAGGACCCCCCCAATTCCTGCACTGCCACATGGAGAAAGGATGTGCATAGCCGCTGAAGCATGGAGGAAGAGGTTTTGCTTTGGAAGTAGCTGCAGGTTGAAAAGGGCAAGGTTGTTCTGTATTTGGTTTAAGGGGTGTGTGTCATGTTACGGCCAGAATAGATTACCCCCACAAGAAGGGCATGATGACCTGTGGTTTGTCCTTAGGCTGGGCAGGAGCCCAGTAAACCGAGCCAATTAATATTACGTAAAGCCTTCCATTAATTTCTCAGGTAATTAAGGAACATAGGAACCTGCCTTATATCAAAGCAGGTCCCTGGTCCCTCTACCCCAGTCTTGTCTGCACCAACCGGCAGCAGCTCTCCATGGTTTCAGACAGGGATCTTTGCCAGTCCTAGCTGGAGATACTAGGGAATAAATCTAGGGCCTTCTGCATTCAGACCAAATGCTCTGCCCCTAAGCTATGACCCTCCCATAAGCCAGTTTATGATGAATTTAAGGTTCATTCACACCCACACCATAACATTTAAAGCACATTTATAGCAGTTTAACAGTCATAGCTTCCCGCAAAGAAACCTTGGAGCTGTAGTTCACCCCCTCACACAGCTACAATTCCCAGCACCCTTAAACTACGGTTCCCAGGATTCTTTGGGAGAAGCCATGTGCTTTAAATGTTTGTTGTGGGGGCAGGGAGCACTGTATTGTGAATGTAGCATGGGGAGAACTTTTATTTATTTATTTATTTATTTATTTATTTATTTATTTATTTATTTATTTATTTATTTATTTTAAAAAATAAAATTTTAAAAAAGGAAAATGCACTATGCACTATCCATGTATAAGATGACCCCTTATTTTAAACTTCAAAAATTTAGGGAAAAATATAGTCTTATGCACGGAAAAATACGGTATATACTGCTTGATTGGGGAAAAAACCCTCAAAGCAGTTTAGAAGAAGATAAACAAGAAAATCAAGGAAAATTTACAGCTCTACTTTAAAACATACAAAATTTAAAATGCTGAAACTGATTTAAATTATCTCAACTTTCTAAGCATCTGGGTAGCCAAAATAAGGATGTTTTTAGCAGGCACCGAAGAGAGTAAAAGTGAAAGTACCTGCTGGATCTCTCTTGGGCGGGGCAATTATTTGTTATTCATTTTCTAATTTATAAAACCAAATTTTAAAAGTGCCTGCTTAATCTCAATAGGCAGGGAGTTGCAAAGTGCAGGTGCTGCCACACTGAACCACCAAGTCCTTACAAAAGCAGAATGGGTATTATGGATATTATACAAGGTATTATGTGGCACCTGTAGTAATGCCAATTCCACCAATCAAAGCAGTCATGTGGGCACATGTTGGGTATTAGGGAGCTTTTGCCCTTAGCTGCACCCCACCCTGCTGCAGCCCCAACTCAGACTCTCACTACAATTTTTATTGAAAAGGAAGGGGGGTCCCATTCCTTTCAAAGGGAATCTGTCCACTCTTCAGAAATGAGACCGACCATGAAGCACATTTGATTTCCACATCCAAGGACTTCAGTCATCCAACACTGGATCCTTGCCAGTCCTGCTGGCTGGTATGCTGTGCCCACGGGATCAACTGTGCACGCCCAATTTCCTTCTGTGGCTGTGACAAGAGCGTGATCATCTTGCCACATACCAACTGCTCCCGGCTGACAGCAGCTCTCCCCAAGGTCTCAGGCAAAGGTATTCTCCAGGCAGACAGGCTCCCCTTACAGCCTTGAACCAGACGTACCAGGCTGTGAACTTGGGAGCATACACCTTTCAAAGCGTGTTCTACCAGTGAGCTTTGCTTTATTTCAACAGAGAGATACCTGCTTGCTGCTTTGGGGTCCCCCCCACAACAAGGGATGGTTGTGTTAGATTAGTGTAAGACAAACAGCAAAGTCCTGTGACCCCTGAAAGACTCATAGATTTAGGCTGCATTCACCCCCCACACATTTGAAGTACATTTAATGCATGTGGCTCCCCACAAAGAATCCTGGGAACTATAGTTTACCCTTTAAAAGAGGTACAATTCCCAGGGTCCTTGGCAAACAACAGTTCCCAGAATTTTTTTGGGGGGGGGCAACACATGTGTTTTAAATGTACGGTATGTATGCAGCCTTATTATGGTGTAAATGTCATGGACTAGAGAATGTGACGGGACGCGGGTGGCGCTGTGGGTAAAAGCCTCAGCGCCTAGGGCTTGCCGATCGAAAGGTCGGCGTTTCGAATCCCCGCGGCGGGGTGCGCTCCTGTCGTTCAGTCCCAGCGCCTGCCAACCTAGCAGTTCGAAAGCACCCCTGGGTGCAAGTAGATAAATAGGGACCGCTTATCAGCGGGAAGGTAAACGGCGTTCTGTGTGTGCTGCGCTGGCTCGCCAGATGCAGCTTGTCACGCTGGCCACGTGACCTGGAAGTGTCTGCGGACAGCGCTGGCTCCCGGCCTATAGAGTGAGATGAGCGCACAACCCTAGAGTCTGGCAAGACTGGCCCATACGGGCAGGGGTACCTTTACCTTTGAGAATGTGACAAAGACAAGTGACAAGGAACCTGTGGCCCTCCAGAACTTGTTAGATGCCAAATGGGATCTTTTGATAAAGGGTGATATATAAATTGAATAATAATACAACAACAACAACAAAAATTTAGTAGAACTATTAATAAAGAATAGGCCAAGAAGAAATCACTCGCATATAATGACCAGAAAGCCGAAGGATTGGGGTGCAGATTTCCAGAGGGGCAGCCATGTTAGTCTGTTGCAGCAAAAACTGCCCAGAGTGCAGTAACACTTTAAAAACAAACGTATTTCTTATGGTTGTGAACCACAATCCACTTCATCAGATGCATAAAGAGTTATCATGAGTCCAAGAAAGCTTAGCTTTGTCTGCAAGGTGCCATGACGAGACTTGGAAAAACATTTCGTGTTTTTCAAGATAAAGCATCAGCTCTTAGGAACATTGGGAGCGGAGTCAGACTATTGATCCATCTAGCTCAGTATTGTCTACACTGACTGGAAGCAGCTCTCCAGGATTTCAGGAAGGAGTCTATCTCGGCCCTTTCTGGAGATGTGAAGAATTGATCCTGGGGTGGTCTGCATTCAAGCAGGTGTTTTATCACTAAGCTACAGACCTTTTCCTTTGCGAAGCTCTTATCCAGATAGCCTGTTATGAAACTCCCAATGGCAAGGTGCTTTTTTTTTGGCCAAGCAGTGTTGGGGCAAAGAAAAGATTTATCCTTATGCAGCAATTTGGTGCAATCCTTAAGCTGCTTAAAATAGCTTATTGTGGGCTTAGTTCTGCTGACTGATGTGAACAACTGGATTTCCAAGGACGGCCAGGCTCTCTTAACAGCTTATATATTCAGGTAGATCAGTGGTTCCCAAAGTGGGCAGTACTGCTCTCTGGGGAGCAATAGGATTACCTAGCAGGGTGCTAAGAGGGCAAAGGGGCTTTTCAAAGACCGCCAGACTTTGAAAAGCTGGTTTTCTTCTTTTTTGGCCGTCACTCATAGCTGAGTAAGATTGTCTTCCATGAACACAGTCTTAGTGGTGTGTCCAGAGGTGACTGTGGGGGCCAATTCTGGACCCACACATCCTTCCACAGTGGGGGCATAGGTTTCCAGGTGGGAGTTGGTCATGGTGAGGGTTTGCCAAATGAGCCTTCCTCTTAGTTCATTTCTTCCTTTTGTCCTGAGTTTGAGTGTCTTCAAAATCCATGACACCTTTGGTAAAGGCTGCTCTTCAACTGCAGCGCTCACAGGCCAGTGTTTCCCAATTGTCAGTGTTTATAACTACATTTTTTTCAAGATTTGCCTTGAGAGAGTTTTTAAACCTCTTTTGTTGATCACCAGCATTACGCTTTCCATTTTTAAGTTTGGAATAGAGTAGTTGCTTTGGAAGATGATAATCAGGCATCCGAACAACGTGACCAGTCCAACAAAGTTGATGTTGAACAATCATTGCTTCAACACAGGTGATATTTGCCTCTTCCAGTACCACTACCTCTGACACATGTGTGTAATCTCTCAATCTCTCTCTCTCTCTCATATGAACAGTAGCCATTAGCTAGAATTCCAGGGGTAGGAGAGTGAACAATGTTTTCATTTTTCAGAATGGCTTTCAAAATATAACATAATTCACTATTTCATGGCCTCATCAAAGTGAGTACAGTGGTACCTCGGGTTACATACGCTTCAGGTTACAGACACTACAGGTTACAGACTCCGCTGACCCAGAAATAGTACCTTGGGTTAAGAACTTTACTTCAGGATGAGAACAGAAATCGCAGTGCGGCAGCGGCACCTGCTAAAGTGGTACCTCAGGTTAAGAACAGTTTCAGGTTAAGAACGGACCTCCAGAATGAATTAACATCTTAACCCGAGGTACCACTGTATAGATTGAGCAAGACTCCGCAAGATTATGTGAGACTACAATATCCTGCACTACATCATTTTCTTCGGGGGGGGGGGGGGCTTTTTTGTAGCAATATGTCCTTTTATGTCAGCAACATGTTAATTGGTTACATTGCTGGAATTCATGTTGTGAAACATGCATCAAACTTTGAAAGCAATTTCAAAATCCTACGAAGGAGCATCAGAATTGGGAAAGAGAAAGAGCTGCAAAGTGGGATGGGCTCAATTATTTGCAGAAAGCGAACAAAACAAGACAACATCACAGATTATATCTCTGTCCAGGGGTGCAAGCGTTTCCCCAGGGTTTTGGCCTCCTTTGAATTTGGTTACTGCAGAGTGAGACTTAAGGTCAGAGAGTCACAACCTTTTAAAGCGTGTGGGCAGATTTGGATTTTTGAGCGAGCATCATGAGCACAACTCCTCTGATTCCTTCTTTCCTTGCTCTCTCAAATCAGGCCCCCACCATTAGACACAGAAATAAAGCTCATATGAACACACTTCACTTTTCTAAAGAATCCGAGTAGAAGTCAGATCCATTCAAAACAAGCTGAATCTAAATGTTCTAATGCGCTTTAGGAGTAGAGTGTGCATGTTCTTCAGGAGTAGCCAACAAGGCTTCAACATCAGTCAAATTCACCACCTCCAAGCAGTCATCCAGCTCAATCCCTAATCCAGTAACAGTCCATTTCTACCAAACTGAGTTTTCACAAAGCCATTCTGTTCCAAAAAAGAAAATCCAGCAACGCAGTTACCACAGCTGTTTCAGGATAAAGAAAGCCAAGTTGCAAAGCCAATCTCTATCACCACCTTGTGTTGACAACGGGAAAGAAGAAAGAATCCTTCAAACATCCTTTGAACATGTGACTTTCAAACCAAGGTCCACAAAAGAGACTGAAAGGCAGATACGCACCATACATTTGAAGCACACTCAATAGACATTAAAAGCATATGGCTTCCCCCAAATAATTCTGGGAATTGTGTTTTGTTATGGGTGCTGGGCAGCATGTCCATCTTTGCCCTGCCGCCTCTCCCACCACCCCACTTTGCCAGTGCCTGCAGCGGCAGGGTGGGCAGGGTGCCAGTGGCTGCACCACCTCGGGGGCTTCCGCCACCTGAGGCGGCTGCTTCACCCTGCTTCATGGGTGGGCCAGCCCTGGTAATGGGAATTGTACCACTGTGGGGGTGTGCTTTAAATATGCACTGAATATGCTTTAAATGTGTGCAGTGGTGAATCTACTCTGAAGTGTGATTTCTTTGCAAAACGAAGTTAGAAAGGCCCCGAGACAGCCTGTATACTCCATAAAAACAAACAGTAAAATGCAAACATTGGAAGAAAAGGCTGTCAGTAGTTTCTAGCTACGGTGGCTATATTTCCCCTCCACAGTTGGAGGCAGTGTGCTTTTGAAGGCCAGGCTTCTCCCCACAGCAGGTGAGGAGAGTTGCTCTCGCACTCAGGTCCTGCTATTAGGCTTCCCACTGGGCCAACTTGTTGGTCACCTCAAGAACAGATGGCTGGACTAGACTGGCCCTGATCCAGCAGGGCTTTTCTTGCTTTCTTACGGCTAGACTGGTCTTATGGCTGATCCAACTTGGATGGCTTTATAAAAGGTTTAGACAAAAAAACCAAGGAGGACAGAGCTATCAATGACAACTAGCCATGACAGCTGCAATCCATCTCTACTGTCCAAGGCAGTATGCCACTGAATACCATTTGCTGGGAATTACAAGTAGGGAGAGTGCTGTCACGTTCAGGTCCTGTTTGCGGGCTTACCGGAAGAGGCGTCTGGTTGGCCACTATGAGAACAGGATGCTGGACTAGTTGGGCCATTTGCAAACCCTCGAACATTCCTCAGTTGAAAATAGGGACATTTCTCACTCTCCCCTCCCAACTGACCCTCCTCGACTTCCAATTCCCCTCCGCAGAGCATTTCCAATAAATAATAATAATAGTAGTAGTAAAGTAATAATTTATTATTTCTACCCTGCCCATCTGGCTGGATTTCCCCAGACACTCTGGGCGGCTTTCAACAGAACATCAAAAACAGAATAAAACTTCAAACATTAAAAACTCTCCTAAACAGGGCTGCCTTCAGATGTCTTCTAAAAATTGGATAGTTGTTTATTTCCTTGATATCTGATGGGAGGACGTTCCACAGGGTGGGCGCCACTACCGAGAAGGCCCTCTGCCTGGTTCCCTGTAACCTCACTTCTCACAGTAAGGGAGCCGCCAGAAGGCCCTCAGCGCTGGACCTCAGTGTCCAAAAGAAGGGGGAATTCCATCACCAGTACACCACTCCACTGTTCTGAGAAAACCCGGTAATCCCCCTTTCATTTGTCCCCCTTTCTTCCCACCCAGGGTGGCGCTGCTCTCCTCTGCCTGCCCCTCAGAGCCAGCCGCTCATCATGCAAGGCTGGGCCTTGGGGGTGGCAGCCTCTCCTCTCCTGTTCTCCAGCAGATGCTACAAGCTGCCCAAGGGAGGAGGCTGGCAGAGGTGGCCATGGAGAGGCCAGGGGATGCTCCCTCACAGCTGTAGCAGCCGCTCAGCCCAAGTGCTGGTTCATCCTCCACCCTGAGCTTGGCAGCAGTGGGGCTGGCAGGGAAAATAGGGACATTGCAGGATCAAATCAGAAGCCAAGATGGCTTTCATTATTCTGGGACTGACCCTGGAAAACAGGGACACTTGGAAGGTATGCCATTGACATGTCCTGCAAGCAAATCAGGATGAATGTTCAATAAACAGGTTCTCTGGAAGTGTCCCAAATTCTAGAAGGCCACACAACAGAAGCAGCATAACCTATCCATTCTAGAACTGGATACAGCACAATGGAACAGAACAGAATTTCGGGCATAGGCATAGATGAGGGTTTTTTTGTCCGTATATATACAGGCTGCGATCCCTAGAGGACTGAGTTCCTCTTGTTAATCTTTCATTTAATGCTTAAGAGAAACTTGTGGACACTATGCTTATAATGGAACTTATTACCTAGAGCACATCTTCTTGTGGCAATAAAAGATCTTCAAATGGAATAAACTGCTAAAATAAAGGAGGAAACAGTCAACACTGTCAGATGAATTAGTTTGCATTTTCTGATTTCAGGCATTTTAAATCAGGGCAATCGTGATCTTTTGAGGGGGAACAATATTAATTTCCCCCCAACTCTACCTAGCAATTTTACAGTCCCTTTTAAGAAGCAACTTCCACCTCAAACTGGCATGTGCATATAGAAGAAAAGAAAACAAGGAATTGGACAGTAAATCATGACCTAATTCTCATTCCAACATTATGGATATTATACTGTTGTTTAGTTTATCGCTGATGCAAGATTTTAGTCAGCAAGGTAAGCAGTTCATTTTTTCTGTTAAATAAAGATTATTCTATATTCCAATACAAAAGGTAAAGGAAGGAATCCAAACAAATTATACAAGAAAAAAATATAAATAGTGGGTTCAGTTTCTCGATGGAACATGCAGAATGCATTTAACTCATAAGAAAGTTCCATTGGGCAAAATGGGACTTTCCCAAGGTTGCGTGTCCAAAATTACAGCCAGTGTGGAGTTGTGGTTAGAGTGTCAAAGTAGGACCATACAGCCTAACACACACATACCCCAAGCTCACAACAATATGTTCATAGAAATGTGAGTAAAACACATGTGGTGGTTGTTTCTTCTAGGGCACATTTGGGGGACCTTTGGCCCTCCAGATAATGCTGAACTACAACTCCCTCGCCCCCATAAGACTTTTCCACTGTAGGGTTCCAGGTGCAAGTTACAGGCACACACCAAAGGAGCCACCAGGAGGAGAGTTAAGCACACTCTACCTCTCCCTTCCCAGCTCTGTTTTTCCCTATAAGGGGGCCAACTTCAGGAAAAAGAAACCTAGTTTGGAAGAGCAAAGGACCATTATAGACATTGCAGACATCTCAGCTAGGAACAAACAAATTGGAGAGGAATGTATATAAGGCTGTTCATCCATTCTGCCCATTCCCTTTCAGGACTCCAGAACTATCACTGTTGCGTGCAAAGATTCTCTGAACTCCTTCCTAAAAGCACAAAAAGAATATCCATCATACTGAAAGGTAGGAGAGCTTCAGGAATGCCTTCTCCTCTGGAGAGGCCGCCAAAACCACTGAGATTTCTCAAGGAACCCTCTGTTTAAAGCAGGGATGGGGAGCACATACAGCCTTCCAGGTGTTGTGGGACTCCCAGCTCCCATCAGCCCTTGCAGCCAGTGTGGCTGGCAAGCAGAGTAGGATGGTGAGAGTCATGGTCCAGCAACGTCATCTGTGGGAAGCCAGAGGTCCCTCACTTTGGCTTCAAAAAGAGGTTAATTCAGGTTGCTTCCTGATGACCTGGTTATTGAGCATTCATATTTGTTTGCACAAATTTTGCAGTGAACATGTATAACATCATCTGTTTATTGAACATTCGTTGCTTTGCATTCCACCACATACATCATCTAGGCAAGAGGCATTATCAGCATTCTGCTCTCACAGTGACCACCCAGATGCCGACAGGAAGCCTGCAAGTAGGACCTGAGTGCAACAGCGCTCTTCCCTCCTGCTGCTTCCAGCCAACTACTGGAGGCAGAACATAGCAGCCATGGCTGGTACTCATTGATATTCCTCCATGAATTTGTCTAAAATCCTCTTTGAAAGCCACACAATTTGGTGGCTATTAGTGCCTCCTGTGGCAGCGAGTTCCACAGGTTAAGTATACACTGCTGTGAGTAAAAGTGCTTTCTTTTGCCTCTCCTGAATCTTCCAACATGCAGCTTCTTTGGATGTCCCTGAGTTCCACTGCTATGAGAGATGCAGAAAGCTCTCTATCCATTTCTCCTACACACCATGCATAATTTTATCAAGTCGCCTCTTGTTAGCTCAGTCGGTAGAACGTGAGACTCTTAATCTCAGGGCCGCAGGTTTGAGCCCCATTTTGGGTGGAAGGTTCCTGCTTGGCAGGGGGTTGGACTAGATGGCACTTGTGGTCCCTTCCAACTCTGCGATTCTCTTGTCTTTTCTCTAAACTAAAAAGACCCAAATGCTGCAACCTTTCCTATACTGTATAGGGGACTTGCTTCATCCCCTTGATCATTTCAGTTGCCTTTTTCTGAACCTTCCTCAGCTCCACAATATCCTTTCTGAGGTGCAGTGAGCAGAAATGCACACAGTATTCCAAGTTGATTTCTATAGCACAGCAAGTCACACTGGACCTAACTAGGTCTGGGGCCCAGAGATTCCCCACCCTTTCCGCAGAGAGTGATCTCACATGTGAATCTGCCTCTTCTTTTAAGCAAGTGTGCAAAGAAGTGAGAAGGAGGAGAAAGGAAGGTGAGAAGGGCACAAACAAGCTGGAATGCAAGGAAGGTGATATTTCGGAGGTGGCAAGGCATAGGCTGGATCTAGACACATCAAAGAAGCGTTTAAGTTAAGTGCTTTGTAAACTTTGCATGAGAAATCAGGCTGGCAAAAACGGAACTCCACAGCACCATCTGGTGTTACAGTGTTATAATGCATATACAACTCACATAAACACTTGTTCTTTGCCAATGCAGCTGAATCCTAAGGCCAACTTATTAAATTCCTTTATCTTAAGTAACAACTGATTTTGGGTTGTTGTTTTTACTTTGTCTTTCCACAGAAAGTGAAAACACATCTAGAGAGGAGTTGTCCAGAAATCACACTGTGGCTGCTTTGCAATGTTCTGGACCTCAAGGCACCATGCAAGTGCACTTCATTGTTTCCGAAAAGATGTACAGAGGGAAACTAAAAGCTATGGATCTCTTCTATGGCCTGAAACAAATCACGGATCCTGATGAGAGGGGCTGTGCTGCTAAATGCTGCTTGATATCGGCCGATCACAGAAAGAGCCTCCAGAGTCAGGCAGAAGCTAGTATTATGGGGAAAGGTAAGGAAAGGAAGGAGAGCTTGAGGGCCATGCATTGGGCTGTATTCCATATCAGTTCGATTCAGAATAGACCCACTGAACTTAATGGACATCGGCCTGTTCATTTCAGTGGGCCCACTCTGAGTAGAATTAGTTAGCTAAAACCCATTGTCCATTTTTGCTATCTTACCCTCTTCTATGACTCATCCCCGACACGAGTGGCAAACTTCAGGCCTGGGAGCTGAGTGTGGCCCTTTGGACCTCTGTATCTGGCCCTTGGAACTCCCCCAAGCCACGCCCCTCACTGGTCTTGCACTGCAGCCTGAGAGTTGTGTGCCTGGCTGGAATGTGTCCTTGGATAATAATGCCTCTTGCTTGTCAGGAGAGAGGGCAGAGAAGGGGGTGTGAGTGTGTGTATAAACTAGCCTACTGTTAAAAGGTAATTGTTCCTTTTTGCCTCTGACCCTGCATGTGGCCCTCGTATGGTTGTTCAAAGGAGAATGTGGCCCTTGGGCTGAAAAAACGGCACCCAGGTTTTTTAACATATGTATAATGCTGGGGAGGGGAGGTGGGGACATTACAAGATGCAAGCATTCTTTTTCAACTTTTCTAATTTAACTCCCTGGCAGATAAACACACCCCAGATACAATTTCTGTTCACAGTGCTTCTCCCAGGGGTATCGGATTGTTTCATCATCAGCAATCAAACTAATAATGACAATTTTGCAAGAAGTTTGGAAAAGGCAACTGAAATCCGAATCAATGCAACATGTCAAGGTAACTACCGTATTTTTCGGACTATTGGACGCACCGGTCCATAGGACGCACCTAGATTTGGGGGGGGGAAATAAAGGCAAAAAAAATTTATTCCCCCCCCCCGCCAGGCGCAGGGCTGGGGCGGGGAAGCCCGAGCTTCCCCCTCCCCCAGAACGGGACCCAGAGCCATGACGAAGCTGCGCGCAGCTTTGGCATCGCTCTGGGAGCTTGCGGGGCTAGGGAAGGAGGAAGCCTTCCGCCAGCCTCCAAACCATGTCGGGAGACAGCGGGATGGCGCGCTGCGCCTCTCCCGCTGTCCCCCGAGTTTGCGGGGCTGGGCCAGCCTTCTAACCAAGTCGGGGGACAGCGGGAAGGGCGCGCTGCGCCCCTGCCGCTGTCTCCCGAGTTTGCGGGGCTGGCGACGGGGAGGAGCAGGCTTCTCCCCCCGCCAGCCTTCTAGACAAGTCGGGGGACAGCGGCAAAGGCGCGCTGCGCCTCTCCCACTGTCCCCCGAGTTTGCGGGGCTGGCGACGGGGAGGAGCAGGCTTCTCCCCCCGCCAGCCTTCTAGCCAAGTCGGGGGACAGCGGGAAGGGCGCGCTGCGCCTCTCCCGCTGTCCCCCGAGCTTGTGGGGCTGGCGGTGGGGCTCTCCTGAAGCCTGGAGGTTGTGGGGCTGGTGGGGGGGAGAAGCAGGCTTGCTTCTCCCACCCCCAGCCTCCAGATCAGGTCGGGGAATAGCAGGATGGCGGAGCACCGCCATCCCGCTATTCCACGACCTGATCTGGAGGTTGTGGGGCTGGGGGGGGAGAAGCAGGCTTGCTTCTCCCACCCCCAGCCTCCAGATCAGGTCGGGGAATAGCGGGATGGCGGAGCGCCGCCATCCCGCTATTTCCCGACCTGATCTGGAGGTTGTGGGGCTGGGGGGGGGGGAGAAGCAGGCTTGCTCCTCCCACCCCCAGCCTCCAGATCAGGTCGGGGAATAGCGGGATGGCGGAGCGCCGCCATCCCGCTATTCCACGACCTGATCTGGAGGTTGTGGGGATGGTGGGGGGGAGAAGCAGGCTTGCTTCTCCCACCCCCAGCCTCCAGATCAGGTCGGGGAATAGCGGGATGGCGGCGCTTCGCCATCCCCCTATCCCCCGAGCTTGTGGGGCTGGGGGGGGAGAAGCAGGCTTGCTTCTCCCCCCGCCAGCCTCCAGATCAGGTCGGGGAATAGCGGGGTGGCGGCTCTGCGCCTCCCCGCTGTCCCCAGCTTTTGGGTGCAGGCTGCTGCCCGCAAGCCTTGCGAGCCCGCGGGACATCCCGCCAGGCTTGCAAGACTTGGGATAGCTTCCTGAAGCCTGGAGAGCGAGAGGGGTCGGTGCGCACGGACCCCTCTCGCTCTCCAGGCTTCAGCAAAAGCCTGCATTCGCACCATAGGACGCACACACATTTCCCCTTCATTTTTGGAGGGGAAAAAGTGCGTCCTATAGTGCGAAAAATACGGTAATTTGGTTTTTTCCCCAGTTTTGCATGAGTAAGGAGGATAATTAGCCGAAAGAAATACTGCATACTGTGCTATATTGCAGGGACAGAAGTCAGGGGAGACTTAAATTGTAATATGTTTTTTTAAAAAAAGCTTAGATCCCACCTTTTTGCATGACTTGAGGTGCACAATTCACCAAGGAGTTATTCTGTGGATTGAAGGAATCCCATCTCAAAGTTGCTAACAGCCCTAGTGAAATTAACAAGCAACAGCAGAATAGTTAGTAAAGATCATAGAATCATAGAATTGTGGAGTTGGAAGGGACCCAAGGGTCATCTAGTCCAAGCCCTGCAATTCAGGAATCTCAGCTAGATCATACATGACAGATGACCACCCAACCTCTGCTTAAAAACCTCCAAGGAAGGAGAGTCTACCACCTGTATGGAGAGTCTGTTTCACCATCAGCTCTTACAGTCAGAAAGTTCTTCCTTATGTTTAGTTGGAATCTCCTTTCTTGTAACTTGAATCCCTTGGTTTGGGTCCTGCCCTCTGGAGCAGGAGAAAACAATCTTGCTCCGTTCTCCATGTGGGAGAATTACCTATTTGAAGATATATCCTCTTAGTCTCCTCTTTAGAAGGCTAAACATAGCCAACTCCCTCAACCATTCCTCATAAGGCTCTGCACGTGCTTCAGCTTGTCAATATCCTTCTTAAATTGTGGTGCCCAGAACTGGACACAGCAAGTCCTCAGATTGCCAAATACTTAACACAGAGGGAGTGTCAACAAATTAAAAGCTCTTTCCTTACAATGCCAGCTACCTCCTCCTTATTCTCTATTTTGCCATTGTAGAACTCAGCGAAGAGGAGGACTAAAAGTAGTATTATATGGCTCCGCCCATCATTAGCTCTGGCTCCACCTACTGTTAGTCTCCCTTCCTTCTGACCCACCAATCACTGTTGGTGTGCTGAAAGGTGGGGAAATACCACTCAGATTTTTCTACCTCAGGCGCCAAAATGTCTTGAGCAGGCTTCCTCAACCTTGGCCCTCCAGATGTTTTTGGCCTACAACTCCCATGATCCCTAGCTAGCAGAACCAGTGGTCAGGGATGATGGGAATTGTAGTCTCAAAACATCTGGAGGGCCGAGGTTGAGGAAGCCTGGTCTTGAGACTACAGATGTGTTCACATTAATGCTTACTCCACATCCAGTGGCTCCCAGTGCTACTTTCTGAAGCCACATTCACATGTTAGCCATGGTCCATATTGATCCTGCAGTTTCTTGACAAATACTGCTGTCCGATGCGGTGTGTGTCTCCCCCCCCCGGCCCTGATCCAGATTAAATCCGACTAGAAAACTTAACCCACCGTATCTGTGCTGTGAACATTTAAGACAGCCATTGCACATGCACAGATGAAAACATATGCTAGGCTTGCCATACGTCAGGAAAATTCCTGACGTGTCCTAGTTTCTGGGTGTAAAAATGGTGTCATGGAGGAATTTTGCTAAATCTGCAAAATTTCAGGGGAAATTTGGCAATGTGATGGAAAAAGCAATGGAAACAGCTCCAAAAGCTTAAAATCACTATTTTGCGGGGGAGGTTTCCCCCAAAAAAGCTTAACAATTTTGATGGGTTTCTTTAAAAAAAGCTTTGCAGATGTGTAGAATTCTACTTTTTGAAATATGGCAACCCTAGCATATGTTTCATGAGTAGGCGTTGGAGGGGGGTGTTTCGGGGCAAGGAAGACAAAAAGGTCATGCATATTGGGTGAAAACATCCCCACCCCCTCTCTGATGTGAGCAAGACTCTGCAAATGCATCTTGAAACGCAGCAGGGGGAGGGAGCGACTGTTCTGCCTTTTCAAGTTGCAAATGTGAACATACCCTACAACACAGCTCCTATCTTTCGTTATTACATTACCTCGCCTATTTTATGCTTCGTATTTCTCGTTCTGTCCCCAGAAGCAGATGAGATGGAGGACAGGAAAAAGATAGGTGTCTTCCTGAAAATAGCCATCTTGTGTGTCATGGTGCCCCTGATGTTCTTCTTTATGGTATTTGGTGTATGCGAAGTCCCCTGTCCTGTAAGTTTGCTTGTGCCGAATCACTGCAACAATTTAAAATAAGTAAGCTGCTTTATATCGTGTCAGACTCTTGGTCCATCTAGCTCAGTGTTGTCTACACTGACTGGCAGCAGCTCTCCAGAGTTTCTGGCAGGGTTCTCTCCCAGCCCTTTCTGGAGATAGCAAGGATTGGACCTAGGACCTTTTGCATGCAATGCGGATGCTTTACCATTGAACTAGGGTCCTCACCCATATTTGCAGAGGATTCAGTGTGGAGGAAATAGTGGTGAAATTTCATGTACTGGCTAGGATTGGGGGAGAAATTCAATTCATTCATTGCATTTAAAGATGAACCTACCTAATTTGCACTTTTCTAAACAATAAGCAAACCGAAACACAGCTATCCTTTGAAAGTTGCATGTCTCTGAATTTTGCAATAGTTATACATTCACATAAAACGTGCAAAACTGCATAACGTGAGCATAAAATGCATATATTAGCAATAATAATACACTGGGAAATTGCTTTGCAAAAATGTGTATAATAGGCAAAACTGCATACAAGTATGTGTGTATTGGGATAAATTTGCAATAAAATGCTAATCGATTTTCATGAGAATTTTTTAAAAAACAAACACAAATTGATGTGGAAACGTGGAGAACTGAACTCAAGACTGGAAAAATGAGAAACTGAAACCAAAATAGACAGATTCACCCAACCCAAGTCCTGGCCTGTCCAAGTCCCAAGGAAATTGAAGGGTGGACAAGGCAGGTTTCTTTTGGGAGGGACTGTCAAAATGTGGCCTCAATACCTGTCATGACCCCAGAGTGCAGCAATGACCGGGACACTGAACCAGAGGAAGTGGACCAGTGGCACTCAGGATGAACAGTCACTAAACAGGCCATCTGGAAACACACTGGTACCTGGTTTTGAGCCTAGTACTAGTGATTAGGAGCCAATGGAGTCTGGGGCTGGCAGGCAGGAGGCTAACGAAACACGCTTCACAGCATTGCAATGCACAGGAGGCTAGTCCCTTAGGGCAAATGAGGCCTTGCCCCACCCACCTCAGCCTGCCCTCACCCAGCCCCCACCTGCCGTACCTTATTTATGACCAATATAGAGGGTAGCATTGACTGCCAAAACATCTGGAGGGCACCAGGTTGGTGAAGTCTGTCTTGAAGACATGGGCTTAGGCAGGGCTTTGTGACGGAGTTAGACCAGCCTAGCCATGCTGATAACTTTCTTCTTCACTCAGTGTTCCCTTCCTCGTTGGACGCAATGTCTCTTCCCTACGCAAAAACATGAAGCAAAAGAGAAGAAAATGACGGAAGCCACAAATCCTGCAGCACACGGAATCCCCATCATGGTCTGTTTGTTTTTAACAGTTCAGTCGTGCTTATTCCATTCAGCTAGACGAGACTTCCCTGGCCGTAGGACGAGAGCCCTGCGTCATCAGGCTCATCTAGTCCAGCATCCTGCTCTCACAATGGTGCAGCAGGTCCTCCAAAAGGAAGCCTACAACTTGGGCTTGAGGGCGGTAGCCCTCTCCCCACTTGTGATTCCTAGTAGTTGGTATTCAGTGGAGAACATAGCCATTGTGGCTAATAGCCATCAAAAGCTGTATACTCCATGGTTCTGGAACAAGTAGAACCCTGCCAGATCACACTTAAGACCAATCCAGCCATAAGAACTTAAGAAAGGTCTTCTTAAACCAGGCCAGTGGTACATCTGCACCACCACCCCAACTCACAACCAGTCAAGAAGGTGGTATTTGCTGCCAGCTTCCTCCTCCTTTGTTTTAGGGTTGCCCTTGTTAGAACTCAAATGAGAGAAGGGTGGAGACAAAATTAATTGGCTCTGTCTCTCCCTGTTATGGACTCTGGCTCCATCTACTGTTGGCCTCCCTTCTTTCTGTCCTACAGTGATGAACCAGATACTCATGGGAAGCCCACAAACTGGGCCTGAATGTGACAGCCCATTCCCCACTTGCAATTCCCAGCCCAATTTGTGTAACCCCCCTTTCAAAGTCATTCATGTTGGTGGCCATCTCTAAAAACAAAAAAACATGCAAGTTAATTATTGCACATGGAAGTAAAAGATTTGGAATTGCTTTTCCAGTCCTGCATTGAACTGACAAAATCCACCCCCATGTTAGCAGTACTGTTTAATATGCAAAAGTTGGACTTGTTATATTATAAAGTAGATTTTTCATTTGTTTTCCAGGCAGAAGTTTAACATCAAGTCCCAACACCCCAAAACATCTTAATTCAGGAGTGTTTAGGCATTGCTTCTGAAATAAGTGAAATAAAAGGTGTTTTCTCATTTACTGGGTCGTGTGTGTGTGTGTGTGTGTGTTTAAAATTCTCAACATGATCTCAGAAATAGCAAATGCAAGCTACATCTCCCCCTTTATGTAATCAAAATTTATTTTTAAAAATTCTCTTTATTTGGGCTTAAGTGGGGCAGTGTTTTCATTTGTCTGAATTATTGTTCATTTATGTGTTTATTTTTTATTTGTTGTATGCATATATTTTGTACAGTTGTCGAAGTATTTAATCATTTGCACAAAGCCTTTACACACACACCTGACACAACTTATTGTCAGCACATATATAACACACTACCATAAACACCATCCTATACATGTTTCACGCACATAAAAACCTAGAGGCGGTTGGTTATTTTTCCATTTTTATATGTGCCAGGTGTTTGCAAAAAAATTATCCCTCCCCTATTTATATTCAAAAGGGACGCGGGTGGCGCTGTGGGTAAAACCTCAGCGCCTAGGACTTGCCGATCGCATGGTCAGCGGTTCGAATCCCCGCGGCGGGGTGCGCTCCCGCTGCTCGGTCCCAGCGCCTGCCAACCTAGCAGTTCGAAAGCACCCCTAAAGTGCAAGTAGATAAATAGGGACCGCTTACTAGCGGGAAGGTAAACGGCGTTTCCGTGTGCTGCGCTGGCTCGCCAGATGCAGCTTGTCACACTGGCCACGTGACCCGGAAGTGTCTGCTGACAGCGCTGGCTCCCGGCCTCTTGAGTGAGATGGGCGCACAACCCTAGAGTCGGACACGACTGGCCCGTACGGGCAGGGGTACCTTTACCTTTACCTTTATTTATATTCAAAATATTTTATTCTAAAAAGTACTTGTGTCTCAACTCGGCAGTGTGTCAAGTGGATGTTTATTTTAATACTGCTGAACTGCTTTACTTGGTGCCATCAACGTTTGCTTCATTTTATTTAAATTATTTGTGCAAGTTGACCAAACATTTAAATTGTAATGCAACAACACCTTAAGCCACCACTTCACATTTTGCTTAAGCAGAATCCTAGACATGTCAATACTCTTCCTTGTAGTGACCATTATTATTATTAACCAAAGTTCTCCCAGTTACCCAAAGGTAGTTTACCCCTCAAAGAGCTATAAATCTCCAGCGTCTAAGCGACAGTTCCCAGTATTATTTGGGGGGAAATAAATCTATTACCTATGTGCTTTAAATATATGGCACGCATAGAGCTTTCTCAACGTATATTTCTTTACAGGCGCTCATTTTTTCCTCAGCAATGTATTGTCATTTCCGTTTGTCGTGCCCCACAGCTGTGTAATCCGTTTTCCCTTATTGGTTTATTATTATTCATTTTACATGAAAACCAATTTTTTTAAAAAAATGTGTTTACTCCCAAGTAATCTTGGCATATTACGAATATATTCTACGGCTACCGTGAGCCTTCTTCGTTCTACTTATGTGCGTTCAAGGTGAGATGAGAATATATATATACAGTATACAGTAACAGTATTCTGAGGTAAGGAGGAAGACGGGAGGGGGAGGGGAGGAGGAGCGCGCGCACGCGCACGCGGTCTCGACAGCCCACGTGCACAGCCACCCGTCGGGCCCGAGCACGTTCCAGGGAGAGAGAAAGAGCGTGAGCGCAACGGACGGCTGCGAGGGGGAGAGGGAGGGGCCGCCTGTGCCGCCCCGTTCTGCGTGGAACGCACGTAATTTAAAGCCGGGTCGAGTCGGCAAAGCAAGCGAAAGGCGAGCAAAAGCGAGGCAGGTAATCAAGGGGCGGGGCTGCGGTGTGCTTCGCGGCGGGGAGGGGAGAGGGAGAGAAAAGGGGCGGGGCGGCTGTGTCGGAAGAGCGGAAGTAACCGGGTGGCTTGTGTGTTGGGGGGGGGAATGAAAGGAACGACACATTCAGGAGGGGAGGGGGGAATGGAACGAAAGCCAGGCGCGCCCCTGGTCAGCGCGTGCGCTCTCGCTGTCTGAGGCGGAGCCCGGATGGAACTCGCTCTCGCGTGCGCTGCCGCCTGCTTCACCTCATTGGCCAAGGGGGGGGGAACGAGGGAGCGCGTGGTTGCTGTGACGTTGAGGCGTCAGTTGGGGAGGGGGGAGTATAAAAGGTTGTGGGGAGGAAGAGAAGGTTGATTTCGAAGGGCCTGACAAGACCTGTGTCTTGATGGAGTCTGGTGATGGAGGGGGGGAATTTACCCCCCCACCACCACACAGACACACCTTTTGTTGTTCTTGATTTATTTTTTCCATAGAGTGTACACCTTACACCAGGCTTCCTCAACCTCAGCCCTCCAGATGTTTTGAGACTACAATTCCCATCATCCCTGACCACTGGTCCTGCTAGCTAGGGATCATGGGAGTTGTAGGCCAAAAACATCTGGAGGAGGTTGAGGAAACCTGCCTTATACCATGCTGCCTCCCCTTCCCACTAGCCACATGCTTCAGCTGCTCATTGATAGAACTGCTGTTAAAATCAAATTTGATTTTTGTTCCATCTTATGTTCAGTGTTAACACCTGTGACCCTCCAGATGTGTTATCTATTATTTATAAAAACACACACAGAGAGAGAGAGAGAGTTTACAACAATGGAATATAAAAATACAGTAAAAGCGATATAAAAAGTTAAAATCAGACATTGATTATGTATTCGTAATTGCCTGCATGGGCCTGGCGGAATGGAAAAGATTTCAACAGGCTTTTGGAGGTTCATTTTATTTTATCGACTTCATAAAATGTATATACTGCTTGATTGCAGAAAAACCTCAAAGCGTTTTACAAAAAGGATAAAATAAAATTACTACTAAATATTTAGAGCCATCATTTAAAACATAGATTAGGTTTAAACTACAATGTAATAGATATAAATTAAAATTTCTACAGTTCTACACAATCTAAATGAGAATGTATTCAGCAGCCATAGAAAAGGATGGGTGAAAGAGCCTGTTTGATATCAATTGGCAGGGAGTTCCAAAGTGTCGGTGTTGCCACACTAGACAATCATGTTCTTACAGAAGTGGTGTGGGCATTATGTAAAAATAGCAGTTCTGCCAATTGAAGTGGTCAGGTGGGCACAAGTTGAAACAGAAGGCAACTGCTGAATCTCTGTTTGCAGAGTTTTCCACAATACTGGACCAATGGTGCTGACGGCTCTTTTTCTTCTTGACGGCATTTCCAGGCAGAGCTGGGTATATCCCCTGCCTGAAACCCTGGAATGCTACTGCCAGTCAGTGTGGACAGTATTGAGCTAGATGGCCCAATGGTCTGACTCAGTATAAGGCATCTTCCTGTATTCCTATATTTTTCTTCCAGGGGCCTACAAACGGGCACACATCTTTATTTTTCTTTTTTCAGGGGTTGAGCGTCACTGGAAAGCTTAATTCAATGAGAGATTGTAGTCTTTAAGTGAAGTTCAGGTGCCCAAGGGAGGAACATGGAGCGTCTGACATCGTTCAGCAGTAAGTAGAGTCACTCAAAGGTTGCTGATAGTGCTTGCAATGTGAATCCCCAACTTTCATAAATAGGTAGTGCTAGGTGAAAGATACCACCTGATCTGGCGAGATCATAAGTGAATGTGGAATGATATGTGGCTATGCAACTTACTTCTGTTTCTCATGTTCCGAGAACATGTTCCTTATTGTAGCCAAAATGGCCCCAGCCACATTCAAGGGGGAGGTAGTAGCAGCCTTGGGAAACCCCAAGGTTTACAGAGGAAACCCAGAAATCCATATAAAATCCATTTCCTGGCATTCCATCTCAACTCGTGCAGGCAAGGGGAACCTTTGGCCCTCCAGATGTTGTTAAACTACTACTCCCATCATCCCATGCCACTGGCTGTGCTTGCTGTGGGTGATGGGAGCTGTAGTTCAGCAGTGTCTGGACAGCCAAATGTTTCCTGCACCTGCGTAGAATGGGGTTGAACAGATATGAACCAGCTTGAGTTTTGATGGCTGGCGTCACTAGGGATATGTAGTAGTTTCAGTGTCCACCCTACTAGTGTCTGTTGGCACAAAAACACCCTGGCCTATGCAGAAGGTCCCAGATTCAAAACACAGCATCGCCAGAAAGGGCTGGGGAAATGTTCTGATCTGAAATTGAATTAGATGGACCAATGGTCTGATTCAGTATAGGGCAGTTTCCTATCTATCTTTTTCTTTTTAATTTTTTCTCTCAATAAAAAAATCACAATTACACGCCTTTCAAACAAATACATCCGGTACAATAACATATTTCACTTCCCTCCCCCCTTTTGTGGTTTCTTTTCTGATTTAAATTTTTAACACTGCATTTTCCACTTTGCTCCGTTTTTAAGTTATTCTTCCATTTCTCTTGATAATAATTTTAACTGCTTGATTTAAGTTAACCCTACTAATGAACTTGCTTGCATGCTAGGATTTTTCAAATATTCCACAAACTTTCCCCACCGTGTCCTATTTACCTTAACATGTAGATGTATTACTGTGTCACTTTCTCCGCCGACAACAAGTGAAGGAGTTTGCTTTGCAAAATGGCGCCCAAGCTTTATTACGTATTGGTCTTGTTGGCTTTACAGATGACCCCTTTGACAAGCCGCCATGCCGAGGGTGTTCCTCTTACCTCGCAGAACCTTACATAAAGTGTGCAGAGTGCGGCCCACCTCCCTTCTTGCTGTGCTTGCAGGTAAACTTACATTTACAAGGAGAGAAATGAAGGAGGGTTGAGCTACCAAGCCTGTTGTGTTCTCCCAGGATGCTGAAAGCCAAGTAGCCAGATCACCAGGAAGCAGACTAGGGCATGTCAATAAGACAAGAGCTCCCAGCTCTTGCTGCTGCTTTTTCTTTTTCTTTTGTATAGCTGGCAGTGGCTCACATAGGGGGTCACCAACGTGGAACCCGAGGCACCAGTGTGCCTGCCGTTATCTCCTGCGGTGCTCTGAAAGGTCTCCA